AATAGTGTTAAGGAAACATTAACATTACTGTGAAATATTGTAATTTATAATTATGCCATACTTATATGTGTAATATTGAAAAACACTAAATATTTTTTTATTGATTGCAAATTGCAGTTTTATTACTTGTCATTTGGCATCTATTCTTCCAAACACAATGTAATTCACATTTTTTAAAAATATTGCCGTTATGTATGTCTGTTAGATTATCTCAATAAATGAATGAAATTAGATTTTGTTCATTATTAATTTTAAGTATATTCATTATACTTAAACAAGTATATTAAGTAAGTCATTTAAGTATAGTACATTCATAATTTAAGTATATTCATTAAGTATGTTCTTTGCTTACATTTTATGTGCTTGTGATAACAAAGAAATTCATAATAAATAGAAACAAAGAGTTTCATCGTGTGCTATTTAACGAAGAGCTTACTTTAACGTATTTAGCTTACTGTCGTATACTATATCATTTAAATCATTTTTGTATAGTATCAAAAGGAAAGTTATTGATTATAAAAAGTGCATGAAGTGATCATTGTAATCTAGCACTATTCTAAAATGTAGAAACTAAAAATAGGTAAATTTACATATGATCGAATTTACATATACATTTACATATGATCGAAAGAAATGGTGTTAAGAAACATCAGCATTACTAGTAAATACTGCAATCCATAATTATTGCACTTCTAATTGCTTACTATTTAAAAAACACAAATATTTTTTTATTAATTGGAAATTTTAGTTCTGTTACCTTTCTACTGCTATTTATACTTTCAAACTCTACTAGTTCATGTTTTTCCTTAAATAGTGCTGTCATGTATGCTGTTTGTTAGGTTATTATTTCATTTTAGTTATGAATATGGGAAGTTATTAGATTTAGGTATATTTTTGTATGAAATATTTTTGATCACATTTATTAACTACTTTATACTGTCTTTCATTTGCATAGCTTGGAGATATAGAAGTTAATGGTTATATTTTTTACTGTGAAACGCGAATAAATTTATACTTGAGTTCGGGTAAAATATTGATTATGTTACCTTAAGAACCGCATCCTCATTTATCATGACAGGGGCAATTTTCAATGTCTGTGAGATTTAACAGAAATAAATGTGATAATGCTGTTATCAGAAATGCTCCCTTTTTTTACCCAGATATATATCTTTACTTTTATTTATGCCTAATTGAGTTTTATTTACTTAAAACCTACTATTAATGTTATATACTTTCATAATTACTCTCAAGGCAAAAAAAAAAAAAAAAAAAAAAAAAAAAAAAAAAAAAAGATGAAATCTTAAATAATCGTAACTTGGAATTTAAGTTATTTAAAAAATATAGTTTAGTAAATAAATACCAAAAATACAGTTGTTAAGTACTGAAAATAATTAAGGCTTTTATTAGTTATGCATATTTAGTCTAAAGAGAAATTTAAAAACTTTAGTTTAAAGTACTGAAAATAATTAAGGCTATTATTAAATATGCATATTTTGTCTAAAGAGAAAAAATTGTATTATCTTCTGTTTTTCAGGAAATGATAAAATATTTAAACTTTAGATAAATACAAGGAATACCAAATTTTAAAAAAGAATTTTCAATGTCTGTGAGATTTAACAGAAACAAATGTGATAATCCTGTTATCAGAAACGCTCTTTTTTTTTAACCCACATATATATCTTTACTTTTATTCATGCCTAATTGACATCTGTCCAATATATATGACGGAAAATTCACCGACAGGCAGAAGTAGAACTGAAAAAAAGGAGAAAGAAATATTAACAATTTTAATGGAAAACGACAAAATTAATGGCTTTGGTAAATTACTTATAAATGTTGACATCAAAATTAGAGAAACTGGGAACAAAAATACGAAATTCATTACCTATGAAAATTCTGATGAACTGTTTGTTATGTTTTTACGTTTTTCCCATGCATTCAGAAATGCTTGGTTTAATCCTAGTATTACAGTACACTCGGGATTTGGTGACATTGACATTACAAATGTTTTAGCGAGCCTGAGAAATATTTTTTGTAAATTTCGTATTTTGTGAACATTGTTCATAATTCTATTCAGTTGAAATAATAGTAGGTTTTAAGTAACTAATGAGTTTTAGTTACTTAAAACCTACTATTAATGTTATATATTTAAAATAACCACTTTCATAATTACTCTCACTTAAGGGAAGAAAATGATGAAATCTTAAATAATCGTAACTTAGAATTTTAGTTATTTATAAAATATAGTTTAAAGTACTGAAAATAATTAGGGCTATTATTAATTATCCATATTTAGTCTAAAGAGAAAAAATTGTATTACCTTCTGGTTTTCAGGAAATGATAAAATATTTAGATAAATACAAGGAATACAAAATTTTAAGAATGAAGAAAAATATATTAATTATTACACTTATTTTTCTGCATAAATCAATATATCCTACATAATAACGACATTTTCACAACTGTTGCAAAAAGGTGTAATTTTGTGAACATTTAGGCGTCGTTAAGACATCATGATATGATGCTTTCACAACCAAAATATCACCTGCAAAAGACGCAATAACGATGTCTATGTGACAAAAACCTCATCTGCAAAGATGTAATAAAGGTGTCTTTGCAATGGTTGCAAAACAGTAGAGTTTCGCAGACATCTGGCCGTCTTAAAGATGACATTTTGCAACGACATCCGCGACGAGTTTGCAACGTTGTTACGACGTTGCTGTGCTACTTGGGATATATACGTACCACATGATCCAATGCGTCTGTAACGTTTATGCATATCCACCTCACAACTCTTGTTCCTGCAATCTGCATGACACTATGCACATCTTTTGTTGGTGTTACAATTTCACTTTTGAAGAGTATAGTTTTCCTCCAGCTGCTATGAAATCGCTAGTATCTTCCACTTTTCAAAATTATAGGGAGGCATATGAGAGCCAGAAATGGTTACAGTTACATATAGGATCAATTACAGTTATTCAATTACAATACTCATTACAGTTACGCATGGACTAGACCAAAATGTTGCCAAGTTTGGTGATTTCGTGCCAAATTTGGCAACAAAATGTGGTGACCAAAACTATCACCAGCTTGGCGAGATTGCGATTTACTCAGTGTTATATAGACTTAACACATGATATCAGATATTTTTCTCTTTCTTTGTGTCCGTTTATTTTCCAGAATAAGTAAGAAACATAAGTTTTTATAATATTCTTAGCTGTTGCATTGTATTTTGTAACAAATGTATAAAATTATTTAATTGCTAAATTTGACTACTTCATTATGTTTGGTAATGAAAAGTCTGAAAAGTTTGAAATTAAAACTTGATTTTAGTAAGAATTCTGTTTTGAATGTAAGGTACTAAAATTTAAGAGTAATTGCTGAAGACCTAGAGGTTTTTTTTTTTTTTTTGTCATTACATTGCAGTTTTGTTATGTATCACAGTGATATATAACAATGATTTTCATTTTCTGTGATATATTTTATGAAGAGTTCATACAGGGTGATTAGCGAATAAGCCCTGATTTCAAAATTAAATATCTGCAACAAAGATCGATAGAATTATGCGGTAAACTGTACGTTTATTAGCAAAACTGTAAAAATGGTGTACAAAAGTTTAGAAAATTTAGTTACGAAAATCATTAACAGATGATGCTCTGTGCTTAAAACTCTTTCTCTGAAAGGAGTCTAAAAAAACAATAAAGCGAAGCGGGAGTAGCGGGATTGTTTCGATAGACAGTGTCTTTCAATGCATCCCACAGAAAGAAGTCACAAGGACTCAGATCGGGAGAATATGGAGGCCAAGCAATTCCTGTGTCGGTAAATTGCGGATAATCTAACGCAATTACTCTATTCCCAAAGTATTCATGAAGAAAGTGAAAAACTTTATCTGTTCGATGTGGTCGAGCCTCATCTTGCGTAAACTAATCAATACCTGGTCGATCCTCCAATGCTAGTTGAGTGTTGACAAACTGTTCCAAAATCGTAACGTAACGTTCAGTAGTTATTGTTTCTCGTACGAAAAAGGGTCCGATAATGCCTCTGGCACATACCGAAGCCCATGAAGTAACTTTAGGCGAATGCAGTGCTTTCTCTTCGCACAAATGAGGATTTTCAGAACCCCAAAATCTCCAGATTTGTTTATTAACAATTTCATTCAAATGAAAATGTGCCTCGCATGTGAACCAGATGCAGCTCACATCAAATCTGTCGTTGTGGATCATTGTTAGAATCTGATTCGCAAAGTCAACCCTTTGTTGCACACCTTTCATGATGACTTTGGATTTCGTATGGAAACATTCGTAGGCTATTTTTTTTCTTGCGTGCTTGTGTACTTTAAACCTGTCTCTGATGCAATCCGTCGGATGCCTTTCCTAGGATTTTGCTGAACAATTCCAGAAACTTTGGCTGCATTTTCAGGAGTGACTACAGTTTGCCTAGGCCCAACATTTGCCTTTCGATCATCAGCCACGCTGCCAGTCCGTTTGAATTTCGTGAAGAGCATGCGAATGGTTTTCACATCAGGTCCAACTTATTTTACTTTCTACACTAGCCTCTTTTTACTAGCCAACAGTCGTACTGGTCACTTTCAACGTGTCTCAAGAAATTTCAGTAAAGTAACTATGGAGATTTAAAATTTACTCCTTAATATGGATTAGGAAATGCAAGACCCTGTCAATTTGTTTTTCTGTTCTTTCCATTTAAAATAAGTGACTAATTGGCCCCTGTAGCTCACGGGAAAAGGTTAAAAGCTATTGATAGGTCATTGCGATTACAGCACCCTCTGTTGACGATTTTCATAACTAAATTTTCTAAACCTTTGTACACCATTTTTACAGTTTTGCTAATAAACGTACAGTTTACCACATAATTCTATCAATCTTTGTTGTAGAGATATTTAATTTTGAACTTAGGGCTTATTTGCTGATCACCCTGTATTACTATAACATTAAATGTGTTATAAAAAGAGAAATAATTGATTAGTCTTTCTAAAATTATAGGTTTTAAAGCGAAAGGAAAGGGAATATGAGCATGATATGGAGCGTTTAGCTCGTGAGAAAATAGCATTCCAGCAACGACTTTCATTATTGAAAAAAGAATTGGCATCACAATTGGATCATATAGATGTGAACAATTATGCCATTCCAGAAGATGATAATGAAACTACAACCACAGCCTCAGGTTCCGTAATTTATGTACTTTCATTAATTAGGTTTCATTTGTTTTCTACCATATCCATGCTGGGAAAAAATATTGAAAAAAAATTTGAAATTAAATTATATTTTTAATTTCTTGAATGATTGTTTATTTGTCAAATTATTTTTTTCATTTATAAAATGAAATATGATAGTAAAAATGTTTGGATATTAAAAATTTCAGCCATGTATTTTAAACTCCTATCAAATGCCACTTACTTACAAAATTGCAAATATTAAGTTATATTAATGAATTGTATACATTAACTAGTAATCATAATTCTTAATACCATATTTTCATAACTCTATTTCTCAAATCAAGTATTTTTAATTGTATTGAGAGGTAGCTTGAAGAAGTTTTTAATTCTAGTATCAGTAATTGGTGGAGTGGAAATTTGTTATTTATCTTTAAGAAACATTTTGTACACGACAGAGAAAATTAATCTGTAAATAGTATCTGAATAAGTATTTTGTAGTTGATGTAGATGACTTTTCTTTGCTCATGTTACATGTATCATTTAATTTTACTTCATAGTCCACAGTGAATATTATAAATTAGTATTAATTTTTGCTATTATTCAGAGTGTGGTGTGTTGAGTGATTTGGATGATACAATGCCTCGTGAAGCATCTGCTATGAATTCTGCTGTAACCTCAGATTTTACAAGTTCATCTTCATCTTCACCTTCCAATAGCATACATGTAGGACCAGCTCTTACAACTGCATCTACTACTTCATCTCATGGTAATGCATGAGTGATTTTTTATTGTTAATTGAATGTGACATAAAAAATTGCATAATGCATAATATATTAGATGTCACTTTTATAAAGCTAAAAAATATGTATGGTAGTGGTAATATTTTTATTTCATATATTATTATGTTCTGTTCAATTATTTTATCCTATAGATTGGCAAGATATCTATCAGAAATTATTATCTTCTCGAATGAAAAGTTAAAATTTTCTTGAAACTGTTTCTTTATTGCTTTAAAGAGCATAAAAACAGCATCTACCCCCAACAGCAACAGTATGATATACAATACTTTTATAAAATTCCTGATACATAGAATGAAAGTGGACAACCACTGTTTTAAATCATGTGCAATATAATCACTAGCTAGTTATGCATAGTTTTATGAGAATACTTTATGTAGGGAAATCTGTGTAAGATGACCATCTATGACTCTAACTAATTTAAGTCTTCTTTGAAGGTTGTTGTTGAGAGGTGATATGCAGTATTGCATCAATAAAACACTAATTGTACGTAATTTATGCACTGAAGCCTTTCTAAGATGACCATGTATGGTTTAAGTGCTTTTGGTTTTCTAAAAAGGTAGTTGCTTTAGTATTCATGTTTATGTTCTAAGAAATTATAAAGTTATTATCGATCACACATGCTTTTGTGCTAAGAAATAAGATTATTTTTGGTCGCCCAAAGCATGGTGGCTGTTGAGAGATTTTACATATTTTTCTATATACTTCAATTAGTAAAGAAGCATTTTCTGTAAACTAATCTGATGTTTCTGCAATCAACATGCACCATTCTGTCAAATATTATGGTCAGACTAAAAACTTCTGCGATTTAAAAAATTCAAAATTTTAGGCTGGAATGCAAATATACGATTTATGATCTTATAGAGAGTAGACCTCATGAATCTGGGAATTGGAAAAATTTGACCATGTCTTTGCAGGGACTCCAAAGCATAGATCTTCCATTTGCTTTCTGGAGATGTAGAGTATTTACACTAAATGAGCTTGCATAGAGGTACGTGGCTAAATTTTTATATTTTACCCTACTTAATGAGAAGAGAAAGGTACGAAAATTGGTCAATCAAATACAGATAGTGATGTGCTATTTTCACCATGTTTTAATTTGGGCACTATTGCAGAGACATTAGGTTTCTGCAATGCCTGGGCATATGAAAAGTTAGATGTGCTACTATTTGCACCAAATGATTGTGCTTGAGAAAATGTGATAATTCCTTATAATTTGAATAAAAATTAGGAGAGCAGAAATAAAATAGGGAGATAAAATCTTAAGAGTTAATCTTAATAAAATTTATCCTTAAATGATGTGTCACATTTTTGTAGTTTCACTTTTATTCTTTATCATTCAGATGCCAATTTATATCAGTACATTTCTCAAAATAAATCTTTTTACCAAAGTGGATAGTAATATTTAATGGTCACATACAAAATACTCAAAATCTAACTTTTGTGAGTATGAAATTACTAACATATTTCATAACATATATCCATGAAGCTTCCATAGCTAAATATGTGCTGTCATTTCAGAACTAGTGTGAAATTTGAGTGTTCATGGAAGGTGCTACACTGTGGGAATTTCAACTTAGTGTAGCAGTGGATTGTATACTGCAGTTTTCAAGTCCTGAGCTTGGCTTTCTGCATGCATTGAACGTAATTCCACTCTTTCAAAAGCATCATGCACCTCTTTTTAGATTTTGGTGCCAAGTTTGTGCAATTTTCTGATTTTTTTTTTTTTTTTTTTTTCCCTCAAGCGAAAACAGATAGCTGTGTACGTGGGAATAAATAAAGAGCGCAAAAGAATTAAAAAAAAGTCTGTATGACTTGTTTGGAAAAAGAAATGTAAAGATATCAAATGAAACATTTCTCTTCAAAGATTCATGAGAGAATAAAAAAAAAAAAAAAAAAAAAAAAAATTCATCATTATGACTTTCTAAAATGGAGAATTGGAATTTACAGTTAAGTAGTTTTTCATGTCTCGGTGAATGGTTTTTAAAAGTTTATCTGTCAATGATAATTTTGCTATCTTCTATCTTTGATAATGACTGAAAAAATATTAGTAATTTATGATGATAATAGTTTGGCAACATATAAATATTTGTTACTTTTTGCTCACCTACTACTTAGACTTTCAGCTCACCACATATATGAATTTACCATTCAGTAGACACTGTTTCTGTAGTACCATCATTTTAATCACTGCTTCCTCTTCTACCAATTTGTCTCTTCAGATTTAAAAAAGCTTCTAAGGTAGTATAATGAAGATCAGTAAGTACATTTCAGTTCATTCCCTAACATTAGCTTTATCCATTCTCAATGTAGGGTGTTTAGCCATGGGATTAAGTATGTTATGAACAAAAACAAATAGATCATGTATCATTTGATTTTCCTCTGAAGTTGCTATATCATGAAGATTCACTTATCATTACCAGATGCAAATGCCAGTGTTAATCATGGCAAACTTGTGTGATTTATTTTGTGTTGATGTTTTCTTTACAAATTTCCATGTGTTAGCAATGGATTGAGCGAAATTTTTCACATTAATATGTTTAAGGAATTTATGTATTGATCTGAATAGCTTAGCTTCTTCAACAGACTCTTATGAAAGGAATATGATGCTTATGTAGAAAGCAAACAGACTCCCCACTAACAATCACCACGAGATTTTCGGGTGTGATCAAGCATGCGAACAGAACTAAAAATGGAAAAAGTGGCACAATTACCTTCAAGTTTCAAAGCAGGACATATGAAGTTGGGCGTATGCATCAATGCTTGTAGCTGCAGATTGGCAAATGTAATATTTCTGTGAATTGTGAGGTCATTGTAAGATAAAATACATTCTTGGCAGAAGGTGTTCATGTTGTATAGTAGTGACTTTTGCTAAAATTTTGTGATACAGAGCATGCTTAACTGCAAACACACAGTATTGTAGAGTAATAATTACTTTTACAATTAATGTAATGTTTTGTAATCCTTATGCCTTTAGTGCAAATATTGGTGATGGAGTGGATGCTGAAATACATCAGCAGGATCTAATTCCGGCATGTAACATCTGTTGAGATCGGTGTTGAAATAACTTTGACAGGAGGGGGACTAGCATCTAAGGTGGGACATCCACAAGAGCCTAGGATATACAGTACCAGAGACCAATCAGGAGCTTGGGATTAGAGTTCAACAAACAATCTATACAAACAACCAATGTTCACATGAGATTTCTAAATGTGAAACCCGCTATGCAGGCTTCTCATTTATACACATTGCAAATAATGTTACTCATGCATGCTGGAACACTAATCATTTGCAAGACTGTAGTACCTTTCATGCATATTTGACGTTGGTTGCATGCCGGTGTGTCAGTTTTAAGTGCTAGCAGTGTACATATGAACACTTTGCTTTCTCCTAACACATAAGCGTGCCACAGTTATATATCCATGTGGCATGTGTAATTTTATGAGTGGGTCATATAATCTCTGCTGACAGTAGAATACCTCAAAATTCACACACACAATTTGGCAGTCTTTTGGCTGCATATATTGTGGGTAACCATATCACTTCATATATAGTGGTGTGGAGGTTGTGGAAAATTGCACAATTTGCTCGTGTTGTTTTGTTCACATAATATAATTACTCCAAAACATTGTTTTGTTTACATATGTAATTACCCCAGAACATTTTATGCTGACTGCCATAGAGAAGTCTTAATAGATTTCTATATTAGATTTCAAAGAGCAGTTTATATTTTTGATCTAGTGTTGAATATATAATTATGTTAAAAGTAAATAACGAAAAATTTGTGGTGTCGCCTTTCTGGAATCCTATGTCAATGCAGACGTTTCAGAAGTCTTCTTTTTTAACATACTCTTCAGGTGTTTTCTTTTCTCCTGTGCAGTACAGTTGTCTAAAAAACTTGTGCACACTTGGTTTGAGTAGCTTGTGTGTATAATGGCTACGCAATTCAGAATTCTGCCTAATGAGAAGCACTCTTCGGTTATGCATTTTCTTCATGCAAAAGGTGAGCATGTTCACGAAGAAATTGTATCTGCCTCTGGCAACATTATAAATCGAAAAAAATATAATGAAATGGGAGTGTGCTTTCTGTGGAGATATTACTGATTTTTATGACAAACATGGAAAGGTAATCTATTTGTGTTCTCTGATGTCTTTCTTCAAGAACAGAGGAATCAGTTTAAGCAAGTGAGGGGTCTCAGGTTGAAAGAATTGCTGGAATAATTATACCAGAAGGATCTGTGACAAGTCTTTCTAAAGCTGTGGCTGTGATTTTAGGATACAAAAAATTGTGTGTATGCTTGGTTTTGAGAATGTTAAGAGAAGAACACAAAAAGAAAGGGAATGCGACTCGTACTCAACTTCCTTATATACTACAAAAGAGCAGATGATGAATTTCATAATCACATTATTACTGATAACAAGGTGTGAGTTTATCACATTCATTTTTAGAACACAGACAACAGTAAGTGTAGTGGTGCTTTATGAATTACTCAAAAGCCAAGAAATTCAAAACTTCAATTTCAACAACAAAAAAAATCATTGTTTCTGTTTTTTTTTTTTTTTTTTTTTTTTTTGGGGGACAGACCAAGCATTCTTTTGATTGATTTTATGCCTCATAACATCACAGTTGATGCTGATACATATTATCGGACTTTAAGATGTCTTAGATGAGCATTTCGAAACAAACATACAGACATGCTGGCAAGGGCAGTTAGCTTGCTTCATGACAACATTCATTCTCAAACAATGGTTCAAATAAAATTACTACTATGAAGTTTCAAATAGGAAATTTTAGGCCATTCACCATACAGCCTGGACCTTGCATTCTGCAACTTCCACTTACTCCTTTACCTGAAGAAATATCTTGCAGAGCAAAATTTCCATGATGACGAAGAAATCAAAACTGAGTTTAAAATACAGTTTCAACTACAGGTGGTAAACTTATGACTGCAGGATACATAAGTTTGCACTCAGACTTAAGAAATACTTGGTTAATGGGTGCAGCTATGACAAAAAGTAAGGCATGCACCAGTAAGTAATTTGTAATGGATGTTCAATTAAAAGTTTTTGATTGAAGTATTGCAGCTTTACTTTACGGAAACACCTTATACTAAACAAAAAAGTTTTTTTGTGGTAATCAGTTTTAATACATTTTTTGTTAAATAGTTTATTATTATCTTAGCAACATGTAAAAATATGACATTTAAAATTGTCATAACGCCTGGCCGCACACTGCAATCCGTGTAGCCCAATTCCTCGACAGGCACCAGGTTCCAGTTTTGGATCACCCTCCATATTTTCCAGATCTGGCTCCTGCGGACTTCTTCCTGTTTCCCCGCCTCAAAGGAGCTTTGAAAAGCCAACACTTTTCCCGACATTACTGAAGTTCCAACAACGTGTGACAACGGTGCTGTCGAGCCACACCGAAAAGAAAACGTTTGCAGACAGTTTCCAATAAACTGTACATCCAATGTCAAAAGTGTATTGTTGCTAATGGCGAATACTTTGAAGGCCAGTAAAGCTATTTTCCTTGTTTCTCTTGTTTCCTTTTTTTTTATGGTAAAATTCACCGAACTTTTCGAACACACCTTGTATTATGAGAGATAATAAAAAGTTCTGGATGGCGTGCTATTTTCATCTATAAGGGTCGCGGACTTCTTCCTGTTTCCCCACCTCAAAGGAGCTCTGAAAAGCCAACACTTTTCTGACATTACTGAGATCCAACAACGTGTGACAACGGTGCATCGAGCCATACCGAAAGAAGCGTTTGCAGACAGTTTCCAACAGCTGTACACCCGATGTCAAAGTGTATTGTTGCTAATGGCGAATACTTTGAAGGCCAGTAAAGCTATTTTCCTTGTTTCTCTTGTTTCTTTTTTTTTTTTTTTTTTTTTTTTTATGGTAAAATTTACCAAACTTTTCAAACACACCTTGTATTATGAGAGATAATAAAAAGCCCTGGATGACGTGCTATTTTCATCTATAAGGGTGAAAAATTCAGAAATAATAAAATTAACCAAGGGAGTTCTGTTAATTTTGGACAAAGTTACATGCCACCTGAAGATGTAATTAATTTTAATGTATTGCCTTTATCTGATAATACAACTAGTACACTGGTCATCAAAATTAAAGGATAATGACAGAAATGGAACATACTGATACTTAAGGAAAAATTATTAATAGAAATTTGTACAAAACCAACAGTTAACATAAATTAGTGATTGGCAGTTGATTATTTGCAAAATATTGAAATCAAAACCAAATTTATGGAAATTGGAAAATGATGGAAAAATTAAGTCCCTTTTTCTGGAAAAAATTCTCCTTTAATATGTGTGCAGCCACCATGGACAGATATGCATACCTCACATCCTGATTTCATAGCTTTACCCAAGAGTTGATCAGCGGGTCTTGTAGAACTGCACACCACTTTTCAGCTCCTGGAGGGTCTAGGAAGGAATTTGGCAGGCTGAAATTCAGTACATTAAGGCATCTCACACATGATCAGTGAGGTTCAAATGGTGAGTAAGGAAGGGCCAGTGTCCATTCAAGTGATACCTTCTGTTTGCAGGTATTCTGACATCACAGATGCTCAATGAGGCCAAGCATTGTCATTCATTAGCAAAAACTCTGGGCCAGCAGTACCCCTAAAAAGTCTAGTTTGGGGTTCCAGCACTTTGTCCACATATATCTGAGCGGTTAGAGAACCTTTTTGAAAGATATGCAGCTCAATGTGTCTGTTTGTCGTGATTCCTCCCCAAACTATTAAACTGCAGTCGTGGAAACGGAATATTTCATGGGCAAGGAAAAGCAAACTGTATGTTCCTTCCTCTCTCCAGATCAAAACACGTCTAGAATCACTGTTCAGACTGTACATGGACTCATCAGTAAACAACACTTGTGCCCAATCATCGTGGCTCCATTGAACTTGACACCAGCTTAAATAAGTCCACCTGGTAACTGGAGTGAATGGGACACAAACCATTGGTTTTCTCACATATAGTCCAAATTCCTTAAGCCTTTGTGTGGCAGTAGAATGGCTGATTCGAGTTCCTGTGGCAGCCTGAAGGTCTAAAACCAAATCTCTTGTAGTCGCTTCACGGTTTCTTCAAGCCGACAACATTAAAAAATGGTCTTCTGATGTCGTTATTGTTTTTGGTCACTCGTGACCAGGCTATCTATCTCATCCAGTGCTTAAAAAAGCGACTCCAAACTCTAGGTATTGTTTCAAAACGTACAGGAACGATAAGATGGCTTCCACTCAAAGCAGTTTTAGGGTTGTCATAAAATAGAAAGGAAGGCAGGGTTGCCACATTTGGCGACAAAATTGGCGATATGCCATGGACGGATGGAGAACCTTCTGGAACGAATTCTTACTGGTTTAGCCCAGAATGTTCTCGAACACAAGCCAAAAGCTATATAAACCCTGCTGGTCCGCAATGCGAGAGTGCCTCGTTGAGAGGACAAGTTAGTGTGCTTCGTCTAGAGTGCAAGTTGGTATCTCATCTAGCGAGTCAGTCTGTGTGGAGTCGGTCGAGTTGACAGCCCGGCAGAGAGTGTTGAGTGCATCGAAAGAGTCTCTTCGTATATCGCGGTTAGTGCATCGTCGAGAGAGCGTGTTGAGCTCCGGGAGCGACTGAACCGAAGAGTCGGGAGCTGTGTTCTGTGTGTCGTTGAGTGCATCACGAGTTGTAGCGTGGAGAGTCTCAAGAGTACGTGGAGTTCCAAGAACGACCAAGCAGAGTCGGGAGCTATACTCTGGTGCTTTGCAGTAAAGCTGTCTCCATCATGATAGCCTGATAGTGTGAAAGCTGTGTCGCTGATCGTGCCAGCGTTTTTATAACAGTTCAATGACTGTAAACGAGATTTTGGAGCTATCCTGATTTATACCGGCCAATAAAGTGTGTTTCGATACTGCATCAAGTGTCGTCGTTATTCATTCTAAATCCACATGAACACCGCACGAACGTGAAGGAAGAAAATAACGTAACAACTGGTGTCGGAAAAAAATGCAACAATATTACACTTTGAGGGATATTCATATCTTAAGTGACCTCCATTTGTGTTTGACCTCTCTCTCGATTCTACCTATTATTCTCCACTTTTGAGCTTCACTTAAATGATGCCTTTGAGTGATAACTACTGAATGCTAATTACTTTTAGAAAACATATTCACTTTAAAGAACACAACAGACCAGAATTCCAACATGCATCTGTTACACACCACAATGCCAGTCACTAAATTTGCATATTTCCGGTGCTAACAAGCACGATTTCATGTTCAGTTGTAGTTAATTAACATAAATAATTACAGCATTGGACATTGGTTGCAACATTAACTTAGTGAGCATATCCTTTCTTATTATCCTTTAATTTTGATGACCAGTGTAAATCACAACCATTGGATCTTGGAATTAGCAAGTTATATAAAATTATGTTTGAGTACTGCATAATTATTATTCCAGTAGCTTTAATGCATTTAATAGAAAATATAAATTAAATAATTTTAAAAATTTATTTGGCTGGTATAATGAGGTATGTTGAAGTTGCATGGTATAGCATAGATGAGAAATGTAATATGGAAGCATTAAACCCTTTACGCATGGCATACCAGCAACTGGAGATGTTTTGCAGCCTTTTTGACACATTTCTTACCAGTAACTTAAAATCATTATGAACACAAAATAATGTATAAAATTTTTATAAATTAAACATTTTATATATCTTTACACTTCTATAAACATAATTTCTTAACTATTAGTCTCTGTAATTTTTCTGTGTATGATATTTCATGTAACAATTCCTAAGATGCATGCCCAGCGACATACTTTAGTGACATACTACTTTGCCTTGTGAAAATTCTTCTGTATCATTTTGGTGGGTTTGCTGATAATCGGAAAGTACGATTTTTTTTAAACATGCTGTGTATCATATAAATGGTTGAAACATGCATTTTCCTTTCAGCAATTTCAAAGCAAGTCATTTCAGGTGCTCAAACATCTGTTCCAAATAAAGAGCCTGCCACTTCACCTAATTCTTTCCCACATGAGCCCATATTGAACATGGCAAACAAAACACTAGTTTCTCCAGCCTCTTCTGGACTTTCAGCTCACCAGATAGCAAGTGTTGAGAATGCTTCTCAAACAGCTAGAGTATGTATTTATTTGAAACTGAAACCTATTCCTTTTTTTTTTATATAACATCAGTGGGGCAAAGCTTCAGTTGAAATTGATATAAAGCAAGCTTACTCATTTAATTAAAAGAGTGAATGAGTATAATTAATATTTACTTTGAGAAAATAGAATTTTGATTTCCACATAGAAAGTTTATAGGTAATTCATTATCTGAGAAATAATGTAACAGACATTGTTTTATTGCACTGTATTTTTCAGTGCTTTAATTCTTCATTGCTTATGCATATAAGAGGGGTAATCACTCATTCTTTTACTCCTCATTATGTATTATTATTTTGATTTTATGAATTAAATTTTTTTTATCAAAAATTCATACAATGCAATTTATTTCCTCATAACGTAATTAGTTTTGATATTATCTGCAAGAGATAAATCTTTCATCTTGCAAGTATTGTACTAGCTGAGAATGAGCATTGTTTACTTTGCTATACTTTTTTAAAATTGTTTAGAATTGTATAAAGTTATTATTTTGATTTTGATACAAGATTTATTTTCAAAAATATATAATTAACATTTTTTCATATTTTCTCTTTTGGAGGATCATTTTTTAAATGATTATTTTGAGTACACGCAATATAATTAGAATTAATGATTTTTATATTTATTTAAAATATTTTTATATTTAAACGATGGGGAAAAAAGGTTTTATAATATTAGAAATTCTCCCCTACCCAACATCTAAAAATTACTGCATTTGAAAGCACTTTCAGACACAGTTGTATTAAAAAGTAATTAGTTTAATTTTTATGGTAATAGGTTGTATATATCTACTCAAAAAGGAATAAAACTGTAAATCAACTACCCTTAAATCTAAAAAGCAAATTTAGTTTAATTTTTTGCATATAATTTCCTGCATTTTGGCAGGAATCTCTTGGTCAGTACTAAAATTTTAAAATTTGAACAATCTTTAGGTAGAGATATATCTGCCAAGAATCATCTGAGTTTAACATTAATGTTTTTCTTAGAATGTGTGCTGAAATATTAAATCGAAATATTGATATATCAAGGTACATATTTTATTTTTATAAATGAATTGTGTAATTTATATTAAATTTTTGTTATTGTATAATATTTACACGAATTTGATTTTATTTTTAGTACATTGTTATTATTTACTCTTTTGTGTGTAATTTTATTCAAAATGTGCTGTACGAAATATTTCTGTTACTTTTTCATGACTCGTGCAGTATAAAAATTAAAATATTATATTCATTATGTTTGCATCATTGCTTATTTTGATTTAAGCATACATTCTTGTTATATAGGTTTTCTCTGGGAATTTGCATACTATGGCTGGAATATTTGCAGCACCTCATGCCATGCAGGTCATTACACAGCCATCTGGAATAAAAGTGATTACGACTCCGAATTCAATCATGGCTTCCAACTCATCTGTGCAGCACATCTCTGTTAATCATCACCAGCATGGTCAAATTCATGTTCTCACTCCCTCCTCCAACTCGTCCTATGCTTCGTCCATTGCCGCCACTTCAGCGAAACAGTTTTGTGCTGATTCACTAGTCCAAGTGGCTTCTAGTGCTGCCAAGAATATTTCAAAACCGCACCTTGTTTCCCCACTCGCATTGGTATCCCCCCAAACTATGGTTGGGATTTCTCATGGTAATACTGGGAAATCCCTTTCAGGTAGTACCAACATCTCAGACTTGATTACTTCCCCTGGTACCTCTAATTCATTGAATATATCTCAGAATGCCATGAAAGGAAGCTCAGTTCTCTCAGGTAACATGGCCATTGCTGTCAAAAATAACTTGCCGAACAGCAGCGTATCAACATCCTGTTCTACACATTCTAACATGATTGCTACACTTCATGTGAGCAAGCCACATTCACAGGTTATGCAGCCATCTTTGGCTTCCAGTATTATTACACCTGGAGGTAATTATATATATCTATATCTATTAATACAGTATTTTATGTATTATTAACTAAAAATATATTAAGACCTTCATTTTCTTAAAGGTAAGAAAATCAAATATTGTGAGAGGAATCTATTAATTTCAAATATTGAATGTTTGAGAATTTATATGAATTTGTATATTCCCCTCATTATATATATACAAATTTGTTGTGGAAAAGATGGATGATTTGTTCATTTAATTAAAAAAAGTTTAGCTGTATATCTAGTAGGAATTATTTCGTATGCCTAATAATTGTTATTTTGCATGTAAATTAAAGCATGAAAGACCTCTTGTTATTTACCGAAAGGTGAGCAAGTGCTGCCCTCGCGTGCCATCTAGCTATAAAAGCAGACCGAGTCCATCAAATTGGGAACATAAAATAGCATAAATCGTGCCATTTGTGCCCACATGTGGTGCTTACAAGGGATAATTCTTGTTACAGTTTTCAAATTTGTTAGTGCTTATAGATTTATTATTTATTTATTTATGTCTAAAATATTACTGTGTAAATTAGTCATGTTAGCACAATATAATAAACAGTGAAATAAAATGTGTACAATAGACAATTGTAATAAAATAAAGATTGTAATAAGTTATAAAATCCACATAAAAGATTATAGTGATGTGAAAGCTGCACAATAAATTTTCTTAAATTTCAAACTCGGTTTACTGTATTGAAACTTAGGATTCATAGATAATTTTATATGCAGTACCTGCCACTTATTAAACTCCCTTTTCAATAAATCCAGTCCTTATTGCATTCAAATTTTCAGGAACCAAAACAAGTACATATAGAAATATAGAAATATCACTATTTATTAAACTCACTTCCACGACTTATTAAACTCGAATTGGCTGACAGATTTTTCCGTGACTGAATATCTTTCTTATACCTATTAGAACATTTCACAGTTCATCCATTTAAAACATTATGAACTGGGGCATTAATGCTAAAATATGTATTGTTTCAATAAAACAAGTCTGACTGAAATTTTCTAACCCTTGGTCCCTGTATGTGTGAGATATTATGTCTAGAGTTCTTTGTTCACTCTAGATTTCTGTGAAGCAGAATTTCCTTATTTTAAGTCTAATGAAAACAATCTTCTAGACCTATTGTAAATGAGGGAGAGTTCTTTCTTGAATACCAGCTGATAGGAAGTGGAAATGCAACTTTGCTATTCCATCTTAAGGTTCCACATTCAAAATCATCCCTTTAAGCTAGACACATTATGTTTGAGTTATAAAAAAGTTCATGAAATATTTCTAAGCATTGTCACACATAAGAGTATTTGAATGGAAAAATTGTGGTACTGATGAAAAGCTAAGAAAGCATTAGTCAGGCTTGTAATCATGAAATGGTGGATTGACTCAACAGACAAAGGGCAACTTTTCTGCTGGCTAAGAAATGCAAAATTTTAAATTTGAATAAATGACTGGAAATAATTTTTAAATTTATGTGTTTTACTTGTAACATGTTCAAATGGTGAATGAAAAGATTTAAGTCTGAAAGAAAAGGATAAATTTAATAATAAAAGATTTTAATGTTTTCAGTAATTGCAGCCAGAAAAAGACATTTAACTGGGAATTTTGCAAATAGTGCTGCCTCTTGTATTTAAACACATTAATGTTTAAAAGTGAAACAGCAGTTGGTTTGAGAACCTGAAGGAATAAGTTTCTGTGTTATTAAAAGACCGTTCACACTGGGGTGTATCTGAGCTAACGGATATAGCCGACCCATCTCCAAAACCAGTTTTTCCTCATAATGCACTGAGTTGAAAAATCTAAACTGCATGTATAGTGGAGCTAGTTGATACATGGAACTGACTCCGTTAACTGAGATAAAGCTCAATGTGAATGGCTCGTAATGTGCAACATGGACCTAACAATGAAGAAGACAGCACTGGTTACTGACAAAAGCAAGAAACCTCGATGTTTCAAAGGAGTCAAGAATTCACTTATAGTTTACCATAACAACAAAGAACTCATAGATCAAAAATAGTATTTTTACTGCCCCCCTTTTTTTTAAATGAGACGATGAACTGAAAAAGGGGAAAAAAAAAATCTGTATTAATTTGATAATTGGGCAGCATACACACCTCTGATTGATTTCTAAAAAATATTTGTCTCTTTAGGCAAACACAACTTTTAACACTCAAAATCAGTGTATCATAAAAACTTTCAAATATCTTTACAAAAGAGATGTTCAGAAGATGGTAAACAAAATTTAATTCTATAAAGATGCAGCCATTTCAAAGGAGATAAATGCATAAGTCAATATGTCCGCTTGAGGCCATGCATATTACAGGCACTGCTGGAGGGCAATCTCATAAAACACAACGAAAAACTGCTTTAAAAAATGTGACTTATGTAAATGAAGTCTCAGAGGAATTACAAGCCATAGTTAGTATTTCAGTGAGGAAAGTTACATCACAAGGATTCAGTTTTAGAATGTGTATGTCAGTTCACAAAAACATTGAGACAGTATGAATAAATTCTGACTATGAAAGTGTTAAATGAACTGTAGAAACTGACAGCAAAAGTGATATAAAAACAAAAAATTCCATCATCAGTTGAATCTAGATAAGCACTGCCAATTCTAAGAAAAATTCTTGAACTGATCAGAAAGCTACCAGCAGGTTTATGAAATAAACATGGATAGAGTAGTTATTTTTAAAATGCAAAATTTCATCAGAAATGTAATTATATAAATTATTTTTATAAAAAATTTAAAAGCATTTTAAAAATTGTCTAAATACTTTAATTTTGGTATTGATTAATTATTATTTTAGAATATATATTAGTGATGAATTAGTTGTTAGCTATTGTTTTACTCAAAATATGAAAATGCATATCACAGATTGCAATGTCTAATAAACTCAAGCCACTTAACAAAATCAAATAAATTAGGAATGGAAGGATTTTAATAATACTGTATTTATATGCAATACTAAGATATATATGTAATACTAAGATATAATATAAAAAAATTAAATAAAAATTTGGTTAGTAACAGTCTCACGCTGCTCTGCAGCGGGGGGTTGCAATTTTCTAATTTCGGCTAAGCGTAATGTATGCTTTACGCATGCGCGTGTTGAAAGAAATGTTTAATAAAGTAAACAAATAAATATAAAGTTTTTTCGTAAATTTTGATACCCTTTAGATCATAATTGCTCTTTATTTCATAAATTATGGTTTCATATTTTAATTGTATAATTTCTGCATGACATCTTACCAGATTTAAATTGATGATCTATAATCCGGAAAACCTCTTAATCCGGAATCGCCGAAGTCCCGACGAGTTCGGATTACGGGCTTTGTACTGTATATCATAATTTAGGTTAATAGCTTACCATTCTCAATTTTTAGCCTTCAGTTACATTTCCTTAAATATTGACTTTAAAAATTTAATTATTTTTAATTTATAACAAATTTTTAGTAATTCAGAAGTCAAGTTCTGAATTAGTATTTATTCGGCGTGTTATTGTGTCTTAATTAAATTTTTAGTAGTTTTCAAAATATAAATTTATCTTATTGCTTCTAATTTCACCAATTGTTCATCTGATTTCTAATTTCAAAAGTTCTCATTCTATACTGTTTATACAGTATTTTTAGTTTGTGGTTATGTTGGAGGAAATTATATGTTGATTGTTTATTAAAAAGACTAAATAAATTTTTAATAGCCCTACATTATTTTAATTAATTTAATTTTTTATTCAGCACTTTTGATATATAATCATCTAAATATAATTCGGAAATTTTACTGTGCTGAAAATGTTTTGGCTGCTCCTTGAAAAGACCAAAGAAATTTTGACTATTTTTTTTTAGTAGTATATTATTTTTATATTGTTTTATTATTGTTGCTGTTTTGCTATAAGTTCTTGTTAGACTGTTAACCACCGAAATTTTGATTTAATTACCACATATTTTAGCATATAAAAAGCACTTTTAATACAAAAAATGAGATCGAAATTTGCGGGTGTACTTTATAGGCTGGGTATAAAAATTATACATTTAAAAATAAGGAAAAAATTAGCATTAAAATTTTGATTTCTACATGTACCTAAATGCTGTTACTAGCAGTTTTCTTGGACCCAGATGGCAACACTTTCTTCTAGGATAGGCCATTTTCTTACTCATTTCCACAGATCACATTCATTCTTTGGCATATTAATTATTGTGATATAATTTTTCTTTTACTCACATATGGAACTTTTTCCAATATCAGATATCCTTGCTGCAACAACGATTTCCATTTTTTTTTCATGAATTGAATAACTTTGCATTTGAAACCAGCCCTTTGTTTCATTTTGCAGAAGCCATAATTACTTCTAAAAGGAATGCTAGATCAACTGCATATCAGCTAAAGTAAATGCAATTTACTAAAGCAGCTTCGATGTTAAGCTAATTTACCTCGATGTTCACTTCAAAATCACGGCTTCAATTAACTACAGAAAGAAAAAACATTTGACTCCTAATTCCACAAATTCATTCGGGTTTGAAATACATCCGTATCTCAAATTATGTCCCCCTTTTCTCAAAACTCTAGAATTACATTCTCGTGCATTGAATACAGCCAACTCTCTTTGCAGAATTACTTCTTTAAGCATTTTCCCCACATACATATTGTTCCCCTTGTCATTTGTCAGTTCAGTATACCATTGTTCAAAAGCTTGCGAAAATCTCCGATTGAATGACTTCAGAAGATAACAGCATCACACATGCATCTTTCATGTTTCTTCCTAAGGAAAACGGTGCATGTTATACAGAGAATATATCTAAAATTTTAAAAATGCAGTTTGAAATTACAGGTGCACATTGTATGCCGGAATGTACAGTATTTAATTATTATATCTTGATTATTTAATTGATTTTTCAGCATACAATGCAACTTTAATGTATAATATTAATTTTCAAATCCTTATATATGTATAGATGAGTGTTTTGATACAAATGCTCCGTATTGATTTGTCATTTTTG